ACCAATGTGCCACTCGGCCGGCCCTATAGTCACCTTTTTAAAGTTTCAGGTGTAACAAATATGATGAGTGAGGAAATTATATATTTGCTGGTGAGGTTGTAAAGAAGTGACTTGAGTGCTTCACTGTGTTAGCAATTTCTTAGTTGGACTGATATTATGAGGAATTTTTGTTAATTTCAGAAAATTATAGTTTTCATTAATATTATAAACAGGTTGTTGTGGGTTTTTTTGTTTTTTTTGTTTGCTGCTTTGTTTGTTTGCCTTCTGAGCACTTTTTTTTTATGTATATAGGGGTCAGTATATTTTACCATTAATATTTATCTCCAAATTTATAATTGTTGATGGTAAAACCAGGATTCCCTGAATATCAGTTTGCTTTTCAGCAAACATTACTGAAATGGACTATTTGATTAAGTCAAGAAAGAAGATACAGAGACTGGGAGGGGTCATCAGTAGGTGTAAAATAACATTTATAACTATTTCTGTAATACAGTCGTAAATAGTTTTAACATAATTGTAATCCTTTGTATGTTTTTGACATGTGGCATCATTTTTCTTTAGTCAACATACATGTATATTTTTTAACACAAATGAATTCATCCTAAAAGGTAAAAGATTAAGCCCTTTGTCCTTTGAAAACATCTCCTGTTCACATCTTAGTTGCTTCTCAGGACATACCTTTGGCCCATCCTTTTGTTACATGTTTAAGCACAGACCCAGTCAGAGGGAGAGCGGGCCTGTATTTCATCTTCCACTGTAACTCAGTCAGAACCATTGCACCCTGCTTTTATACTGAATATTTGTATTACTGTCCTCTGGTGTTTTTTCATTGTCCATAACAAATGTTTCCTCTTCATAAGAACTGATTGATGGCAGTAAGAGAAACCACACTGTGGCGTGCACTTAAAAGGAAGAAAGCCGCATATTTAGCTAGATAAAACAAATATCTGTTTCTCTAGCTTTAAAGACAACAAACAAAACACCCACATGTGTATTTAAGACTCTCATTTTGCAGGTCAGCATGTCTTCATAGAGAAGTATTTGAGTATCGTGAAGAGAGGGGGAAATTGATTCTGCTTCTGTCAGAAGCGCCACGTGTCAGGCACCCTTGTAGGCTCAGGGGATGACACAGTGAACAAGCTATTCAGGCTTTGCCCTCAAAGAACTTAGGCTCTAGTAAGGAGAAGCAGCCATTAAACATTTAGGCAAGTGATGGGAAGTTCAGGAACAAAGAAGTGTGAATGTTAGCAAAGAATGTAAGCAGAGCATCATTTTCTAATTCGCATTTTTAAAAACTCTAGCTACTATGTGGGAAGAGATTGGAAAGGGGTGTGGACTCGAGTGGTCTCCATCTGTGGAGAGGGAGGGAAGTGGATAGAATTTAGAGAACTGCGGAAAGTTAGAATGGAAAGAACTTGGTTATGGACTGGGTAAGGGAGAGGGGGGTTTGGTGGGTGACTTCAGGTCTCTGACTTGAGCAAATGGATGGAAGGGATCCTATTAATTAGGATGGTAAAGAAAAGGAGGAGTACTTTGGGGGCAGGAGGAAACGAGGATTCAGTTTTGGACATGGTACATTTGAGGTGCCTGCAAAATAGCCAAGGAAAAGGAAAACATGGAATGCATTTGCAAAATGAATCCGGAAAAGAGGTCAGGACTGAGTTGTAAGTGTGGGAGTCGTTGGCACACGAGTGGTATCTGAAGCCATGGGGTGGATGACATCACACAAGGGTGAGGGTAGAGTGAAGCAGAAAAACTTAGCCCAGGACTAGCTCTGAGATATACCAGGCCTTTAAAGGATCTGGCAGAGGATGTGGAACTGACAAATGAGCCTGAGCAGGAATGGCTACAGAGAGTTAATTTGCTGGGGGGAAAGCAATCATATTTCATGATCACACACCACACAGCCCTAGCCCTGGCCAGCAGCTCTCAGCCACAAACCCCAGTTGGCTCTGAAAAAGCCTTCACTAACAGTAGAAAAGCAATCTGCTGCAAGCATGGCTTCCCCGTTGGGGGAGAAAGAGCTTTATTCTCATTTTAAAAGATGACTGCACCCGATATAATCCAAAGAATAAAACGAGAGTGTGAAGCTACTGGTGTGTCTCTGGCGGCAGGTTTGAAGTTCCTCTGGGACAAATGTGAAAGATCAACTTCAGAGATCTACTTCTCTGTCCCGGTTCCGACTTGCTTACCAGTAAATGGGGAATAATCTTGCTTAGTTGGCAACAGCCTTGCCTTTTATGCGTTCTCTTGCAGGAAGTTCAAGTGCTGCACCATAGAGTTTTTGTTTGGTCTTTATGTTTGAAATTAAATGAGACATGTAGATTTAATAAGGAAAGTAGCTTAGAAGAGGTGTGAACTTGCAAGTTCAGCCTTGGGAAAAGGCGCAGAGAGGCACCTTTTGAATCCCTCTCCCCCTGTTTCAGTTATTTCACAATGTTCTACAGTATTTTGATCTGATAGGCATTGCACCAAATGCCAGATGGGATGTTTGTGCCACATTCTAATACATGCGGCTCTTTGGGTATGTACATGTAGTTCTGAAGTAAAATTGAAAAGGAAAATAAAACTATCATAGTTTCATTTATAATATTACCTTAAATTTTCCTTATTTGTAAAAATATATTTATGGCTCTTGAATAATTTTTACATTGCTGTGAGGGACAGGATTGGCTCTTCCAGGGGTCGGCAAACTTTTGAGACGAAACGTACCCAAAGAGCCGCATGTGGCTCGCGAGCCACAGTTTGCGACCCCTGTTCTAATAGATAAAAACAGAAAACCTTTCAACCTTATATAAAATAGTTCCTGAAATCCTAAGTTATTTACTGTGTATCTGAACATTTTGAAGCATCTTTTTCTTTCTTTTTTTTAAATACTCACATAGCCAAATTTATGAATCACAAGCGTCGTGATTTTTTCCCCATTATTTTTAAGTGTACAAGATATTTCCCATCCTCCGGTCTAGAAATTGCACAAATATTCACCTTCGTTTTCTTCTACCTTATTTTTGCTTTAGGTGATGTATGAGGTGTAAAGCTCTAAGTGTGTATATTTTGTCCAAATAGCCAACTGTGAATCCCTGCTATTTATTAAATAACCTTTTTCTTTTGCATCAATTTTCAGTGTCTCATTTATCATATAAATACACAAACAAAAATAATATATATTTCCTGGAGCGTCCCTTTCTATATAGATCAGGTTGATTTATTTGTTGAGGTCCGTATCATAAGTTTAGTAATGGAAGACAGTCCCTGATCTTAGTGTGATAATATTAACTACTTATTGGCCATTTCTTTTGATATCAGTTTTTTAGTTTGAACTCATCCATATGCTCTTTTGCAAACCATTGAAGAATAGTAATAGAAATGGACTACAGCTTAAAGGATGAAACATATAAGAATGCTTGGAAACCTTCAGAAAGTTGCTATTTCTCATGCTTTTTCACTTTCCTTTTCTTTCTCAAAATAGATTTCATTTCTCCTTCTGCAGTTTCAGTTCATGTTTCGGAAGTGTAAATATCGACATTTGTTTGACGGTACAATTTCTAGTTCAGTCAAGGCGTTATTTCACGGTGTATGGCCCTGTGTATATTAATGAATGATGTTCTTTGGTCATTAGGAACTGCTTTGCAGCTACCTATACTATGAGCTACTTTGGCCCAAATTTCAAATCTAACATGGCAGTTCCACACTGAGGGAGTCACTCTTACATATCCTCCCAGCCTGGATTTGGGAACAACTGCCTTTTTGTTTTCTAATGTTGCTAGCCTGTCCAAATTAGAAACAACTTTATATATTGATGCCCTGATTCATCCCTACATATCTGTATTTCTAAGCCATTTATCTTTCATTACTGAATGAAAGCTTCCCTACACCCAGGCCTAGGCTTATACACTGGCATATGCAGAGAGAACAGTTGCTCCTGGACCCAAAGGTGGAATAGAGACCCTGGGATCTACAGCTCTTAGGATCTTGGAGAAGGAGGAGAAAGCTCAGTGGTAGTGGGGCAGCAAACAGAGTGGGGGAAGATTTTGGAGAAAAACTAACCTTGGTTTGGGGCATAAACATTTGAGCATTTTAACTGACTGGCTGGCTGTATGCTAGAAGCATCACATATTATCTCATTATTATTTAACACATACAACTATTACATGTATCTTAAACCTCTGTCAAATTAACTTATGACAATTCCAATAGTGAACTCTAAGCATCAACTTTTTCTAAGTATGTTGTTCATGTAGCACATTTTATTAGCTCATACAGTATGTTTATTTCCTCAAAGTATATAAAAATTTAAAGGGAACAGTATCCACTCATCAGAAATTTCAAGTGATAATAAGCTCTCCAGGGAACTTTTTTTTTCCAACACTCAACTTCTGGGAGTTGAAATTCAGGGCGGTTAGGATTGTCAAACAGGTAGGTACTGGCTAGTGTCTTGGAAAATTTGACTTTTTGTAACTAGATTATAAAGCAGGGCTCTCCTTTGGATTTGCATACATGATTTTTGCCATTTTATTCAAATTAATGGCTTTGTCATTTGTTCCTGATTACCATTGGCCCAGATGACAATTGTGGGATTGATTTTATATTTTTGATGTGTTTCTGATCAAATTAAATCAGGGAAAATTGCATAAAAGCTTACTGCCTCTTGAGACATACAATTTTTATAATCAGAAAAAGTTACTTTCAATAAAGTTGAACCCTTTAACTTCTCAACACAGTATTGACTACATAGCAGAAGATATAAACTACACGAATTGCCGAAGACCTGAAAGATTATGCACAATCTGTTAATTTCATAAATGAGAATCTAATGCCTAGAAATGTAGGAATTTTTAAAAATTTATTGTCTGAATAGAAACTAATGTCAGTAGATGGGAGGCAAACCATATATATAGCGGGAAGATGAGAAGGCAAATACATCTTAATATCTGTTTCTTAAGTTGCTTCTCTCACTGCTATTTACTGATTTTTTATTCTCCCCCACCCTTTGTTTTTAGTGGCCACAGATGTCTTTAATTCCAAAAATTTGGCCGTTCAGGCCCAAAAGAAGATCTTGGGTAAAATGGTATCCAAATCCATCGCTACTACCTTAATCGATGACACGAGCAGCGAAGTGCTAGATGAGCTCTACCGGGTAACCAAGGAGTACACCCAGAACAAGAAGGAGGCTGAGAAAATCATCAAGAACCTCATCAAAACAGTCATCAAGCTGGCCATTCTTTATAGGAATAATCAGTTTAACCAAGACGAGCTAGCCCTGATGGAGAAGTTTAAGAAGAAAGTTCATCAGCTGGCTATGACCGTGGTCAGTTTCCATCAGGTGGATTACACCTTTGACCGGAATGTGCTGTCCAGGCTGCTGAATGAATGCAGAGAGATGCTGCACCAAATCATCCAGCGCCACCTCACCGCCAAGTCACATGGACGCGTGAATAATGTCTTTGATCATTTTTCAGATTGTGATTTTTTGGCTGCCTTGTACAATCCCTTCGGGAATTTTAAGCCTCACTTACAAAAACTGTGTGATGGTATCAACAAAATGTTGGATGAAGAGAACATATGAGCGTGTGAATTACGATTGTGACTGCTCATGATTTATTTGGAGATGGAGCACTGTTGATTTATGAAGGAAAAAATAATTTTTTGAAGATTACACGTATTTCAGAAATGCTTTGCCCAGTTCAGTTGTTGGACATTGATGATAATGTTGTATAAGGCTCGTTTTATTTGAAGAAAAGCATGTTGCCAAAAATTGCGGTTAAAAGCTTCCTAAGGATTAACAGGGGAAAGATGTTTGATTGTAATGCAAATATAGAGTTATGCAAAGGAACATATGTATGGTGCCAAACCTCAAGACATCTTTTTTTTAGGGCAGTTGTTGTGATGGTGGCACATTGGTATTTCTAATGTGTACAGTTATGTATTTTGATTCACTTTTATTCCTTACTATGTATATGTGCATCTTTTAAAAAGCCAAGAACTTTCTCTTGCTGTCATTTCTCCTTTCAAAACTATTTCATTTTCAAGTCCACCTTTTGTTAAAGATGCTTTTGTTAAAGATTTTTGTCGTTGACATTCAAGAATTAAGTCTTAATTAAGAATTAAGACATTCAAGATTTAAGGCAGTCAAATGTGAACCCTCAGGAAAATAAAAAAACTGCTTCTCTGAAATTAATATTGTAGAAACCGACTGTATTTGACAATATGAATAATGTCTAACGTAAGACTATGCTTCTGGAATCCAGTCCTGTTTTTTAGTACCAACAGCAATACTTCCCAAAACATGGTAATTCCCCTAAATGTAGTAACATTCCATTGCTTTGAAATGCTTGCTAAGGGCTTAACTTTCATGATATCTTAAAAATGTGCGGATGAAAATCTCCATTTTTAATATCCATTTCGAATGTAAGAGACAAAGAGAATATCTAGATTACTCTTGATAAAAGTAAATGACTTTAAGAAAAATAAAACAATCTTTATTTTAGAGATGAGCCCATGAAAATAATTTAGAGGAATGAGGGTCAAACATGAAGAACAGATATTGCTACAGAACATGAGAATGAAAATTAATGCATTTCAATGTTGAATAAGGTTTGATTGGTAAATAAATAATGTCACTTTTTTATTTAACTGATAAGGTTTTTGCTATTTTTTATTTGCTATTTTGATGAGTAAACCAAAGAGTATTTGCATTCCAAGCAGTTTGTGTGTTGTTTCTATATAATTTTATGTGTGTGAACGATAAAGCAAATACTTACTTATTTTGTAAAACAGAAATGGAAACATGCTGGCAAACTATATCACCTGGGACTCAACCACCAGCACTAAACATTTGCATTGTCACCATGTTTGTGACTCTTCTGCCTTGAATTTGCCCGCCTCCCAGAATACTGGCATTAAAGTAAGCATTCTCCAGGAAAGGTCCGACAACTGAAAATTCCAGAGGTTGACCCACTGCAACCTAGAAAAGGGCTCAGTTTCTCTGGCACCCTCGTGCGCTTGTCTAAGACAAGCAGCAGAGGCAGAGTATCTGTCTCCCTGTTTAATATTAAATCCTGACATAAAGATTTGAACTGAAATTACCATTCTCACTTCCCAGAGCTGGTAGGTGACCACCACATGCTATAGCAATAGCAAAGTGACGACAGAAGGGACCCTCTAGCTCCATAGCCTGCCACGTAGCTTATAAATTGAGTTCTGCAGCCTTCCTTGACCAGTTCTGCTTTCCTCACATGGGCAAGCTGAGAGTGTGGTCTCTGGGAGCTGCTGATTTGGTGCGTTCTGGTCTCTCCAGGTCTCCCTCAGCAAAGGTGTGGAAGAGGGGGCCCGGGCAGTTAGTGGGTGCTTCTTGTTCATCTCTAGCTATGGACAGGACCAACCTGAGAGAGGACCTGGGAATAACTATAGATCAGTGTGTGCACATTTGGATTATAGAGATGTGCTTGCAGGCTAGCAATCAAATGTACATGGGGAATAGATAGAGCTATCCTGAATCTCAAACAGAGAAGGCAGTTAGGAGTATCCTGAAGAAGGAAAACCTGTTTGTTACTATCTCTCAGCGTCATTTTCTGGAAGGAACTCATCTCCTTACCAGTCCTGTGCCTGGGAGGCATGCCTTATAAGGATCAGTTACAAAGTCCTGGTCAGCAAGTTCATCTCTGATGCAACAAGACTCCCTTTGTGCATGGATTTAGTGGGGGGTGGGGGTGAGGGTGGGGATTTTAAATCTGAAAAGAATCCAAATGTGCTTAGGATAGATAATACTGGGCCAAGTTATAGTCACTTTGGGATCTTATGAACATTTTTTAAAAACTGAGTCTTTTTACTTTGGGGGTGGGGTGGGGGGGTAGGGTGGGGGATTATGAATTGTGTTGTAATTGATTTTTAAAATTTTGTGCTGATAGCTTCTCTGCAAACATGAGTTAATGTGATAGATGAGTAATAATACTAGTATTAACAACTGACACTTACATAGTAGTTATTCTGTGCCAGGCACATTAAATCATTTAATCCCTGCTACAACCTTCATTGTTTTACAGGTAAGGACACTAAGGCAAGAGAAATCAAGGAATTATTAAATGTCAAAACCACAATATCAAAAAAATGATTTTTTTTTAAAGGTAGTATGGATAAAGGCAATTCTAGAAACATCATTGGTTTAGAGTAGAGTGGGTAGTGTGCTTCTAAAGTGGTTTTTCCCATAATGACATTTTAGTGGGTTGTCGGAAAAGTCATGACGCATTTTTGCAACAAAAAACATAGAAAAAATACGTCATGACTTTTCCAACAATCCAATAGCTGATATGTAAACCCTACAGGTCTGACCTGTCCTCTAAAGATGGGTATGATTTTATGCGAAGACATTTTGTGGTTTTCAACATGGGTCCTCATTTGAGGGCATTTCATGGCTCAAATTTCTGTCTCCTTTGGAACTTCAAAGTGCTCACAATTAACGATGACTTTGAAAGTTGACTCGTGAGGTACAGTGTACCCTTCCCCCAGGTGAGCACACAAGGCGTTCTGTGTGCACATGACCAAGACAGAAGCAACATCTCACTGTTGTGTTCCCTGGAAAAGGTATGGCGTCAATTTGAAACTTCAAAATTCTTTTCCAAGTTTAGATGCTGGAAATATCTGAGCAAGTTAGTTTAAGAATAGCCTTGTGTTTTTTGTTTATTAGACTTTTCATATACAACTCAAAATTAGTTTAAAAGAAGAGCAAGTGTTAGGAACTTTAATAGTCCAGAAATAATGCTTTGTTTTGTCTTATATAACTAGCTCATTTGCAATTATCTGGAAAGTTTTTTTTTTCTTCCACCATGTAAATACTTAAAAAATAAAACCCACAAAGCTTGAACTTTCTGATGGATTTCCCCCCACAAAGGATTAATATAGCACTTTTTGTGTTCTGTACATTTTAAGTCAATTGGATTTTTACTGAAAATTTTAATTTATCCTTGAAATACTTGATGAGAGCACATAAACTAAGTTGTAATTTAGCATACCAACCTTGACAGATAATAAATAAAAGATGAATATGTCTATGCATATGACAAAATATTTGTAGTAAAAAGTTAAGTGCCATTTACATAATAGGAAATGAAAATATTCTAATAAAACCAACTTAATTAGAATGTTAATAGGATTTATAATATTTTTACATTTTTATCCAGTCTTGCATTTCCAAACTTACATTATCCAAATTAGTTGAACTTCCCAGTGTTTGAAAAATCACTGTTTTTCTTGATATGTTGTATGCCTGGGCATAAACCTGTATAATTTGTTAAACTGAAAACAGGTTTTAACACTCAATTTTTATGACAGGTAAAATTTTATCCTAGCTCTGAAATAATTTTCTTACCGTGATTCGGATAAAGTCTTTGTAGAAACCCCCTAATGAAAACACTGAGGCACTAACCAGAAAAATGAGTCAACATTTTGCTTCTAACATGGAACAGGAAAAGTCTTTAGGAGTTTATAATCACATATCACTATTATGGCAAACTACTGAAAATCCATTTTCTCTTTTATTGATGTGTCCTCATGGTTAGTTATGTAGGCCCAGAGCCAGAAAGACACTTTTATCATGGGTCATTTCCCAAAATGGAGACATTTTTCTGTAATACTGATTTATGTCTGTCTAGCCAAAGATGTGTTTTCCATCTAGCATTGAACATCAGCCCCAAGTTATAGGGGACAAGCCACTCCCCAAACATCCTGTCTGCTGAGTGCTGAAAAAGGATATGAACAAGTCAGCCAGCATTCGCAGTTAAGAGAAAAACATCTGTGCTTTGGAACACGTTCTTCAAATACAGGGGAATCTGCTGTGTGTCCACCAAATTTCCATGCGATCTTTGTAAGATTAGCCAGCCAATGGATAGGCCCCCTCGTCTTCCGTCGTGGGTGGCTGAGGAAATTCTCAGCCTTCCCCACTAACAGCTGCAAAACTGTATTTCTGCCTTGTGGAAATAAGCATTTGGGGTTGTTTCTTAACACAAGGAAAGAATATTCGATTTTTTAAAGTATGTGTTTTAATTTGCAGAATGATGTAAGCTAGTATGCTTTTCTGTACTTTGGTTTTTCCATTTAAAAGCTTCCAGGTGGATTAAGTCACCTAAAACAGCCTGATAGGAGGTTTAAACACAAGCCATGGAAGTGAAAACTCTGAGTAGACATACCTAGGTTGTCATCGTTATCTGGGATGATTAATGTTTTATAAGAAGCCCAGGTTCCATTTTCCTGGACATGACTTGTATCAGCCCAGCAAGAGCCACCACTTACCCATCCTAAGTGACTTGTCAGCATCTTTTGCTGCTAAGACCACTTGTTTTCATTAAAGAATAAGTACTTGCCAAGCAAACTGTACATTTTTATAAGATATTTAATGTCCTGGAGAAGGACTTGCTGAGGATTAAAGTGCCAGCACCATTGCCATTCCCTAATCATATGGACTTTGTGTTCTCATAACTGACTTGTCACATTTTTAGCTTGCTGAAATACTCACTGGAGAATGTGCAGTAAAATCCACAAGTGGGAACATTCCATAGTATTTTCAAACACGATGTGTCAGGAGTTTGGCGTCTGATCCTCCTGGGAACTCACTGGAGGGTGGCCAGGTAGAACCCAGCCGGGTACAGAGGTTGTATGCTGGAGCAATTTCCAGCTCCTTGTCTGCCAGGGAACCTTCTCGCCATATTGGATCAAATCAATTTCCTCATAGTCTCATTTTTAAGGATAAAATTGGGCAAAACATGGATGGTTTTGAAACTGCCTATAGGCTATTCTTATGTGAGGTATTGTTTACCTAAGCAATGAAAATTGTCTTGAGCCTCAAAGAAATTAAACAACAAATCTTCACAGCCCAAACGAATTTTATTAAGTCCCAGTCCCTTTTTAAAAAAATGTTATTTGCTTTTAATTTATAATGAACACCTATATGTGCCCAACCCCAAGCTGGGCCTTAGAACTACTCAAGAACACCTAGTTCTACAGTTGAGGAGTTTACTGACTGGTGGGGACACCAACAGTGCACAGGTGAGTTAGTACTAAGTTGGGAGTCACAGGATGAGAAGCCCAAGAAACGCTTTGTTAGCCTCAAATAGGCTTTCTGGTTTTAAATTTTTCAAACAGTTTTTTGAGTTTAAACTTCATTTTTAAAAGCTCAGAGTAGTGGCAGTTTGCTTTTTCACAATCAATAGCAAGTATGAGAGGGAACAGTACAGGTAAAAGAAAAATATTTACAGGCTATTTTTTTCTATTCAAAATAAAAATGGTTGTAAATGAGTCTATGGCAGATTACAAACTGTACTGAGTGGAAGAATCCAAGTGAAAACTGAGAAGTAATTTTAATTCATATTTAACTCACATTTTAATTCTTGAGAATATTTGAGAAATAATAGGAAAGAATTTTCTGACTTTTTTTTTTCAATTACAATTGACATTCACTATTAAGGAAAGAATTTTTAAAATCATTTTTTTCAGAAATAGATTGGAGCCCAGCTTGTGAAGCTAAATAAACTCTGGCTTCATATCCTTGTCCTCAGTGAGGTATATCTGTGTTCCCTGAGGCCTCAGGCCGGGACACAGAAGTACATGGTTGAGCTGGGCCAGTGAGGATGATCCTTCCATAC